TTTTTGAGAGAGAGTGTGTGTGTGCACAAGCAGGGGATGGGGCAGAGAGAGAGGGAGAGAGAATCCCAGGCAGGCTGCACACACAGCACAGAGCCCAATTCAGGGCTCAATCTCACGACTGTGAAATCGTGATGTGAGCCGAAATCAAGAGTCACCCGCTTAACTGATTGAGCCACACAGGTGCCCCTGGGTTATTTTCAAAGTGTCTGGTATTCATTCCTTTCCTTCCCCACACCTCAGCCCATCAACTGCTGCAAGACTTTTAGAATGTAAGCTTTGGAGCTATGAAACACCCAAACAGGAAAAGAACTACCTTTCTCTTTGTTGCTTGCTTCTTAATCTCTTTTGCACCAAACTTCCTGTCTGTAATTATGTATCTATATATGTTATAGCATATCTACATCTAAATAGATGTATGGAGACACAGCTTGGGACAAGGAAACATATTTATTAAGGACTTCCTATATGGCAGGCATAGTTCAACCTCAGTAGATCAGAAGGTGTTGTTCCTATTTTATAGATGAGCAAATTGAAGCAAGGACAAGTTAAATGATGTGCCCACAGTCTCAAACAGCCAAAACCAAGAGACCTGAAGTCGAGCCCAGAACACCTGCCTCAAAAATTAAACTGTGCTTTTATCGATTACAGCCTGTTTGATTTAATCATGATTGCTGTATCACACATTTTAATATGCCTTTACCTTTCATTTGATTCCTGTGTTTCAAGAAGATACAGGATTTGGTTTACTTATATAATTTAATAATTATATTGCCTCAGCTTTCGCATCTACATGAATCATTACATAGTTCAAATTTCTGCAGTGATTTGATAGCATAGAACTCTTGATGTTTTTCTAAAGGGCAGGTAGATGTTTAAATTTTTGGTTGTCATGTACCTGTTTATATTTTTGGTTATTATGAATTATGTACACCTTTTACATTCTCAGCAACTAATCTAAAATCTTATTCCAACTCTCCAGCATCAGCTAGTGACAACCCTCTGGAACTGAGGGAGAGTCCAGATGAAATGTGCCAGATTTACAGATACGGTTACTTTAAAGCCACCATCACAATTGTAGGTAAGAGCAGCAGGGGGAAGGATGTTAGAATCTACCTTGGGCCACCCTCCTGCTCTGCTGAGTCTGGAGAGATGGGGGCAGGGGCACCCACTCTGTTCAAGGTGACATCACATGTGCCCAGGCAAAGACTGTACTAGTGTCTAGATTCCCACCTGCGTCCCTGGCCTTCCTTAGACATTCTGGTGGAAATGAGCCCAGCATAAGGCCCACATGCTAAGGAGCCTGATCCCCACACTGTGGAGTTCAGAAATTTGAATGAAGGTGCTTTGAAGAAAGGGCAGTAGCAAGTTCCCAAACATCCACTTTGTTCCTCCAGCTGATTTCACAAAGTCAAACTTCTCGTGTGTAAGAAAGGGCCACCAGAGATGGCTGTGCACCATGGGCACTGCCCACAGGTACCCCACAGAGAAGACAGGTGGGGGCTGAAGCCCAAGTTGCGCACGTGGGGCTGAGAGAAGGTGGCCAAGGCCTGAGCCTGAGGACTACATCTTCCCAGGAGGTAGCTTCTTCTGAAATTCTTGCCCAGAAGGAGTGCTGCCTTCTGACACATCCACAGATTCCAGAAATGAAGAGCTGGGTTGGAACGAAGAACAGTTCAGTTCAGTTCAGTTCAAGCTATGGGGTAGATTCCCAGGTCTGGTGTGCTTCTGGTGCGGGGAGAAGGCTGTGTCTCCTCCATTTTGTGTGGCTTTCTGGTTTATTAGGTAACAGTTTGGTTTGGCATCTGTTGTATTTTGATTTGTTTTTCTCTGGGGGCTGTTTTGTTAGAGGGAATTCTAGAGGTTAACATCGTCCGGATGACAGATGTTCTGATGCCCGTGCCACAGCCTGACAACTCCCTGATGGATTTTGTCGTGACCTGCCAAGGAACGTGAGTACACGTCAGCCAGAGGAGCGGGTCAAGGCCTGAGCAAAGGCCTTAACGCCGTCTCCCCTTCCAAGTTGATTTAGATTCCTGATTTTTCAGTCAGCCACGACAAGGAAGGGCCCTATGAGGCGCTCTGACGCGCACAGTTTTGCTGGAGTTCAGCGATGCTCATTACCTTTAACTGTTGATGAAATTGAATAATAATGATTGATTGAATACTTAACTGTGTTCTTAACATTTTATATCTGTTTTCATATTGAATCCTTATCCCATCCCGAGTCTCCTCATTTTACAGATGGGCCCACTGTGGCACACGGTGCCCCGAGATGGTGGGTACCTGCAGAGCATGGTTCATAGGCTGGGAGCTGGCTCGGAACCCAGCTCTTAGGTCCCTGAGGCCCCTCTGAGTGGTGGGAAACCAGTGTAGAATGGCCATGTCCTAGTGATAATTAATAAGAAGGGACAGATAAGAAGCTTGGGAGAGGGGAGGGATGAGGATGGCAGAAAATTGGGAAAAACCTAACGGAGGAATGAAGCCAGCTGAGAAGAGTGCTTGTCCTCCATGCCACCCATACCTCACCAGCCCCTCCATCAGAGCTTGGTCTCTGCTTCCGGGAGGGCCACTCACGGGTGACACAGTGGCTAAGACAGTAATGCATGGCCACTTTGCCTCATGGTTGTCAAACCTCACTTATTCAAGTCCCAGATCCACCTCTGCTTGTGTGACCCGGGGCCAGTCTCTCCCCTTCCTGAGCTGGTTTGTCACCTGCTACACTGGGCTAATCTTACTTTCTTTATCAGGTCATTGAAAGGAATAGGCAAGGTCATGTCACACATCTGCAGCTCTGTGCCTTGCACGTAGTAAATACTGCATAAATAGTTCCTGTTGCTGTCACTGTTGTACCTCTGCAGGGACCCAGGCAGGGCCAGCTCTGGCATTTAATAATAGATTTGCCGGACACCTAAGCCGTCTGTATCTGCAGGCATTCTAGGGAGCTCAGATGTGGAGGAATGACTTGGGCTTCACACAGTTTCCAACAGCCCCTTGCCTTGGGGGTCATGATTTTTTTCTCCTCCACCCCCAGGGCCACACCTTTCTGAGGATACAGGGGAAGCAGTAGCTCACACACAGGCTTTTTAGGAATAAATTATATGTGACAATTTGACATCATATAGTTTGATATTCTTATATTGTATGCAAGAATAAAATAATAAAGTGGAATTCAGTTTTATAGATGTGTAATGATTGTGATTGTCCCTTCTAAACTGATATGACATCTCTCTCCCTTGGTGCCATTTGTACCCTCAGAATCCCCACAGAGGTCTGTACCATAGTTTCTGACCCGACCTGCCAGCTCGCCCACAGCACAGTGTGCGACCCTGTGGATGTGGACGTGGCTGGTATGTGCTTGCTGACCGTGAGAAGAGCCTTCACCGGGTCTGGGACATATTGTGTGAACCTCACCCTGGGTGATGATACCAGTTTGGCCCTTACAAGCACCCTCGTCTCTGTCCCTGCAAGAGGTAAGTTTTGTTTTATGTTGTATGAACATTTCATATTGCAGGTACAGTGTGTGTCTCATACTAAAGCCATTCAAGTCTTTGTTGTCACTGTTTGATATTCAGTGCAAAAATCATTGAACTACCGTTAATGTGGATTTCAGAACTGGCGTTAAAGTCCAACAGCAAATCTACTTAGGGCAGGGATGAGAGAGAGAGAGAGAACGAGAGAGAGACCCAATGAAATAATGACCAAAGGAAAATCGTTTGATGAAAAAAATCAGCTGTGATCATGGAGCAGTAATAATGGGATACGATCACTGCATGTTCAAAGAGATTTATGTTTCAAGGGAAAAGTGTAAAGCCCAACATCAAAAAATAACAATGTTCTTCAATTAAACTATAAAAGGGGGAGACTTGTGTCATGTTTTCATTAGAATCCACCTCGGCAAAGACATGAAGCCGAGAAGAAAAATGAGAAACCAAGTGGACTCCTGGCTCCTTTCTAACTTGCCATATGTCTCCTCTTTCCCTTCCCAAATTCTAGCAAGCATTACAGCGTGACAGTGACAAACCAACCTACGTAGTCCTCACATGTTCACCAGCAAATCTCCTCTCCTCTCTGCCCCCTACTGCCTGGAGAGCTAAAATGGTAGCAGGGTGGACTAAAGGATTTCTTTGAGAGATGTTCATTTACTGGTGGCTTCTAATTTTCCCCAACCACAAATTAGAACTCCACCTGGTGAGCCCAACTGAATTTCACTTGTAATCGACTTTGTTATAAGATACTGCTTTATCTCCTAGAAGAAATGCTTTGTGGTGGAATGGAAAGAGAGATTAAATTGTGTACACATTACAGCACTTATTTTGCTCCTTAATTTGAATCTTGCCAGGTACAATCTAATGACTAACTCACAAAGAACTCCTTTGGGGGGACGCCTGGCTGGTTCAGTTGGTTGAGCATCCAACTCTTGGTTTTGGCTCAGGTCATATCCCAGGGTTGTGGGATTGAGCACCACATCAGGCTCCATGCTAGGCGTTGAGCCTGCTTGGGTTTCTCTCTCTCTCCCTTTGCCCCTCCCCACACCTCACACGTGCTCACTCGCTCTCTCTCTCTTACAAACAAAAACAAAAAAACAGACAAACAAACAAAACAACTCCTTTGGATCTGGAGCCTATCTCATAAGGTAAAATGTACCGAAATATATATTTGCTCATTAACCATATAAAAGGCAGCTTTAACTTCCTTGAAAGAAGAACTTAAGTAGTCATACATATAATTATTTGTATGAGAGCTTACAGTTGGTGAGATCTAAGGTATAGATTTAAAAGAAAAAACAAGGATACAAAGGTACCCTGCTTCCTCCAAGACAAGATGCACTGGGACCAGGGTGGAGAGCGGGGAGGGCAGGGAAGAAGGAGGCATGCTGGAGGCCCTGGACCCAAGTGAGCCTCTGTCTTCAAAACTATTGCCTCCAGGAGCTGCCACAGTTACTCCTCTTGTGCTGCTGCGGGGTTTTTTTAGAACAATGTTTTAGGGTCATAACCTATTCTATGAAGCTTCCTCAGTGCTGGCAAACCACTGTTCTCTTATCTGGATTAGATGTTTAGATGTTTGCTTTCCTTTAATTCTCCTTGCAGTGAGTGATAACTTTAGGTGACCTGAGCCATTTTCAAAATCTAAATAAAGGAAGCTCAGAAAGAGAGCCTTTAATCCAGTGGGGATTGTAACTTGATGACTTGGGTTTCAAAGTTGGAATTTCAGAAATATCCTTGTTCAAAGGCAAACCCATATACTTTGAGCAGAAATGACTTTTATTCATTGATCCCATGAACATTTGTGAAGCACCTGCAATTCTTTCAACAAATATTCATTGAGCATCTACTCTGTGTCCAACAGAGATCTAGGCAGGAGATACACAGTTCCAGATGAGTGGGGGAACCAGATGAAGAAGATTCCCACTTTTGTGGGCAGAAAGAGCCAACAAATAAGATGACATTGTGAAGAGGGGTGCCTGGGTGGCTCAGTTGGTTAAGCGTCTGACTTCAGCCAGGTCATGATTTCACAGTTTATGAGATCAAGGCCAGCATTGGGCTCTGTGCTGACCTGCTTCGGATCCTCTGTTCCCCTGTGTCTTGGCCCCTCCCCCATTCTCTCTCTCTCTCTCTCTCAAAAATAAATAAACATTTAAAAAAAAAAAGTAGAAGAAGACACTGTGAAGAAAATAAAACCAGGCGGGGACATGGAGAGTAATAAGTATGGGAGAGAAAGGGGTCAAGGTCAGCTCTCTAGATTGGAGGTCAGGGAAAGTCCTGCCCACCCAGCAGCATCTGCTTGGCGAAGGGCCTCCTTTGAACTGAAACCTGAATTTCAAGGGTGGGCAGCCCATTTAGATCATTGTAGACCAGCGGTAGGGCTTGGGTCTTATTCTGTGTGTGAGGGTAGCCACCGGCAAGTTTGAAGCATGATCTGATTGATGCTTTTAAAGATCATTCTGACTGCTGAGTGAAGCAAGGATCCCTGGAAGGTAAAAGTGGAAGCTGGTACACAAGAGGTCCTCTTGGGGAGAAGGCTGGTGTCTGGGACTGCAGTGATGGCTGAGGAGATGGAAGAAAAATAGATAAACCCCAATCATACTTTAGTGGTAGTGATGAGACTAGTTAATTTGCCAGTTTCCAGGAATACAGAGAGTACATAACCCCTGTTTTGTGGCTCTTGTAATCTAGTGGGAGAGAAACATGGGTAAAGCAGTAATTGCAACACAATGTGATCGAGGCAGAGGAAGAGAGGCAGGTAGAGGAGTGACACAGCCAGGTGTCGTGACCCAGTGCCCTCATGAATGTCTGGAAGGCACCCTGAGGGGTGAACACTTACGAGGAGCCAGGGGAAGGACAGTCTTGGCAGAGGGCATGGGGATTTGTAAGAGCATGGGGAGGATAAGCAACTCCCAGGATTTTTAGAACCGCTGGAAGGGAGGTGGTGGGAGATGAGGCCAGAGGAGTGGCCAGGAGGGGCATGGAGCCCTTCACCTTGTGGGTGCTGCAGGGTCAGCTGAGACCTGAGCAGGTGTCTCCAGGACATGACATCTCTCTTCGGAGCCCTTTAACACAGTGTTCCAGACATGCTAACTCATTCTCTAAATGGAAGATAACCTGAACCCAAAGACTATGTATTATTTAATGGAAAAGATTACTGAAAGCCCAGAGGGAGCTATGTATCTTCTGATAGCAACTTTCCTCATTTATTTAATTGCATTATGAGTAGCATGTCCTCTAGGTGGAAGATGTCACTAATACTGTCTTGCTTCTGTTTTAAGACCCACCTTCCCCTTTAAGAATGGCAAATGGTGCCCTCGTCTCCGTTGGCTGCTTGGCCATATTCGTCACTGCGATCACCCTTTTGGTGTACAAGTAAGTTGCTGCTTTTAACACTTTAAGTTCCCATAGTATATTGTCAAAACTTCTGCATATTTCTGCATAAATGGGCCATTTTCCCTATTTTTTGCTTTTAAACATTCTGTGTAGGCGAGGAAAATCTTCCATTGAATGATGAATACCAAACTAGATTATTAATTTTTCTATGGTTTATTTTTAATCCTCAAAATGCTACCAGACATGAGTAACTACAAAATTGTGTCAGCTTAATGTTTAACATATAATCGCAAATTATAGTAGGCAGGCATATTTCTTGAATGAAGAAGGGAAAATAACTATACTTTCATAAGACATCAGTGTTTTAAAAGCTGTGGATTCGGTTAAATGGAATTAACCCTTTTACACTTGGCATGTAAGATTGTAGAAAGTAACAATTCCAGCTGGAGATCTATTTTTAATCTGTCTAACATGTTGTTTTCAGAAAACGCAAGGGATACAAACTGATAGAAAACAGTACTGGGATCGTAGTCAAAGGCAATGGCCTCGGTGTTTCCCTCAACCGTGCAAAGGCCATGTTCCGCCCTGGAAACCAGGAAAAAGATCCACTGCTCAATCACCAACCGGGAATTCTTTAACTCTTCAGCTTTATTTCTGACCAACAGCTTACTCCAGTGCCATTTATGTGAGCTGTGCCAGAATTGATGACTATTAACTTTTTTTCCTAAAAATTATTATTAGAATATATATTGTGGCTTAGGGAGGTCCAAAGGTTTTTTGGGGTTTCGTTTTGTTTTGTTTTGTTTTGTTTTTATGGGCTAAATGACATTTTAGAGAAGTAGAGAGGAATTATACTGTGCACAACCTCAGCCATGTTACAGAACTGATAAAACCAGTTAGCAGTGCTTTTTTTTCATTATGATGTATGTTTCAGTTATAATGTGTTAGGTGATTAGTGGGATAGATACACTCTGTCCAAAGAATAGGGGGAGAAGATACTATTCATTAGAGTCTTGCCTAGGTTCACTGGAAGGAGAGGCTGGACACTTTCTAGCTATCCGTATAACCAAATACATAACTCCAATGTATTCCTGTTCTTAAGATCATGTTCCAACCTAACTGAATTCTACTTCAATGAACATGCATGAGCTCCCAGCAAAACAGTAACAAGCCAAACATGCTTCTTATACTAAAAAATGTGTATATACTAATCTCATAAATAGGTGTGAATATTTTTGTGACAACCTACCTTGCCCAGATGTGTAAAGGAATGGTATTCACCCAAGGGGTACCTGGGTGGCTCAGTCGGTTAAGTGTCCGACTTTGGCTCAGATCATGATCTCATGGTTCATGGGTTCGAGCCCCACGTCAGGCTCTGTGCTGACAGCTCAGAGCCTGGAGACTGCTTCAACTTCTGTGTCTCCCTCTCTCTCTCTCTGTCCCTCCCCCACTCATGCTCTGTTTCTATCTCAAAAATAAATAAACATTTAAAAAAAGTTTAAAAAAAAAAAAAAAGAATGGTATTCACCCATTTATTCCATGGAAATTTATTTAGCACTTTCTGTGTATCAGGCATGTTGCTAGGTACCCGGCCCTGCACTCAGAGTGTTTATATTCTTGTGTATATATCTGGATTTCTGTACACTCTGGTGCGTGTATTTGAAATTATACATTATGATTTTCCAAAAAGGAGGCCCATGCTTTTCCTATTGGTTTTCCTATTTAAATGATATCGTAACTTGATCAGTAAGGGTTTTACCTCCATTTGTAACTAAAACTACCATATGTCAGACAAGGCCTTCTTTTTCTCTCCTTCCTGAAAAATAAAGTGTGAAAAGAGATAAGATCTTAGAATTGTAATTATTTTTCCAATTTGTTGTTTGCCTTTCTATTGCATTATAGTTTTGACACATAAAAAGCTGTTTAATGCTGCCCCATGGAGTACTGATACTTTCATAAGTATTTTATATTTAAAAATATATAGAGTATGTTAAACTTCAATAAATTTAATATATAAATGTATATAATCAGATAAATCCAAAAAAAGATTTTCTGTGAGTAATCGTCCTGGATTCTTTAAACAGTATTAAATTAAAAGTAAAGGCAAGGAGAGGGAGAGGGGAAAATGGGGGATGGGCATTGAGGAGGGCACTTGTTGGGGTGAGCACCGGGTGTTGTATGTAAGCAATGAATTATGGGAATCTACCCCCCAAACCAAGAGCACACTGTATACACTGTATGTTAGCCAACTTGACAATAAATTGTATTTAAATAAGTAAGTAAATAGGCTCGGAGCCTGGAGCCTGTTTCCGATTCTGTGTCTCCCTCTCTCTCTGCCCCTCCCCCGTTCATGCTCTGTCTCCCTCTGTCCCAAAGATAAATAAACGTTGAAAAAAAAAAAAATTAAAAAAAAAATAAGTAAATAAATAAGTAAATAAATAAATAAATAAATAAAGGCAAGAGGATAGTTCTAGGTCACAGATCAGCAAACTTTTTCTGTAATGGGCTAGGGAACAAATATCTTAGGCTTCATGGGCCACATAGTTTCTGTTGTAACTACTCAGTTCTGTTCTTGCAGCACAAAAGCGATCATATATGTAAATGAAAGAGCACGCTGTGTTCCGGTGAAAGCATATTTACAAAGGCAGGTGGTAGGATATTTGGCCCACGGGCCATAGGTTGTTGACTAATGTTCTAAACTAAAAAAGACCAAAGAGACACAGCAACCAAAAGCAATTTAGGAATCTAGACTGCATGTTAGCATCAAAAAAACAAAAAACAAAACAAAACAAAAAAAACAGTAATGAAAGATATTCCTATGATAACTGAGGGGAATTTGAATGCATAATGAATACTAAATGATATGACAGAATTGTTATTGTTAATTTTCTTAAGGAGTAGTCAAGATTTTCTGAAACACTTGTTGTACACCAACATTTAGTCTAGTTCCTTCACTTCGTAGATGTCCTGGAGGCCAAAAAGAAGCTATTTTTTTCTGAAATCATCTCCAAAGAATGCAAAATTTGCAGAACATGGACCGTGAAACTTCTCTCCAATGATGTGCTGGCCATAAGTCAGTGGTCCTCAGCCAAAGGTCACTGTGCCCCTCGGGGGCATTGGCAATATTCGGAGACATTTCTGGTTGTCATAGTTAAGGTGGGGGTGCATCTCGTGCGTAGAGGCCAGAATCTACAGGACAGCACCCCACAACAGAACACCCCATGGTATCTGGCCCCAGATGTCAGAAACCCTGTTGTGGACTAAGTGAAGAGGTCCCGGACCTCTTGTAAATGTGTGTAAATGGATATAAAGATAGAAGACTTAGATTTGGATCCTGCCCTGCCACTTAGAGCTGAGTAGCCCTGGGCAAGTTTTTTGGCCTTTCTTGAACTCCGGTCTCCTCATCTATAAAATGCACATGTGATCCTTCCCTTACTTACTTCGCAGGGTTGCTCCAAATCCACCTGAAAGAACAAATGGACGTGAAAGCACTTTGTATATGGCATAGTGGTATATTCTCCAAGTGAGGCCTCGGGCCACAAGCAATGTGAAGAGGCTGTATCATTTTGATGATTAGGAGACCAGAACGTTAGTTCCTAAAGCAGAAACAGAATAACAAGTTACAGCAGAATCACTTGCAGGTTTGTTAAAACACAGACTGCTGAGCCCCACCCCCAGAATTTCTAATTCAGTGTTCCGGGGTGGGGCCCCATAATCTGGAGTTGTCACCAGTTCCCAGGTGATAAGGGTCCTGCTGGTCCAGGACCTAACTTTGAGAAATATTGGTCTTGAGATCCGCTCTTCCCTTATCATATCAACAGGGGATATTGGAGAGCCACAAACACACAACCACCTAGGAAGCCAGTGGAAATCCTCAAAACTCCCTCCATTCCAGTCTAACAAATGGCAGAAGAGGGGGCTGAAATCATGATTTTTTTTTAGATTTATAGTCTCCATGTGACCTTGGCAACAAGTCATTTAACTTCTGCTGAATCACCGTCTGTAAAATGGGGGAAATAACCTGAAAGACAGTGGGATGACTTGATTAATGTTTGCTGAGAATTAGAACTTCCAAAGAAAATTGAAATGCATAGGTCATAAATTATTCTGGGAATTCCTTATTCCGAGGACTTTTTACAAATGCCTGCACTTTGAACACTTCCAACTCATCCATAAACATTGGTTGCTGTCATTGAATTTCCAATTGTTGAAGAGTTTAGAGGGCAATACTTTCAATGCATTCATTATATCCAAAAGGGATAATAACTCTAGACCCAAGTGACAGGCTAAGAGCAGATGAGAAGATAGTCATTCAGGGGGTGAAGGTGACCACCTTCTGATGAGGCTCCTGGTGGGGAGGAATCCTTTAAGATTTTTGTTTGTTTGTTTGTTTGTTTTGTGTTTTTTTGTGTGTGTGTGTGTTTTTTTGTTGTTGTTGTTGTTTTTTTTTTTTTTTTTACAAAGAAGCATCCCAAAGCTTCTGGAATATGTACTCTAAAAATTCTGAGGTCAGTTCTCAGGAAATATTCTTTGCGGACTGATTTAATCCTTCAACCATCATTTACTGATCCCCAGCATGTTCCAGGCTCTGGTCTGGAGGGGATACAGCTATGAACAAGAGATAAAGACTCTGCTGTCCTGGGCTTGGGTTCCAGATGTTCACTGAAATGAGGGCCCTCATCTCTGGCCTGGGGTCCCCTCCCCCCATCCTGGCCAATCCCCCAATTGGCCTCAGTCTAATCTATGAAACTATTCCTCTGCTACTTATAACTGAACTGCCATTCCTTTTTGAAATTCAGGAATAAAATTTGCTTTGGAGATCATCCATTGGCTTTTTGGAATTTGGGTGTCTTAGTGATATTTTAGAATATCACCAAATTTAATTCTCTGTAATTTCCCCACAAGTATCATCATGTCATCTCACTAGGCAAAATTTCTGATGCAGTTGTCACTGTTGTTTGCATTGTATAGGTTTTAATGATACAAATTAAATATCAAGACTTGAGCTTGGTAAGTCCTTAATTTTAAGGTGTTTATTAGAATAAGTTCTTTTGGGACTAAAAAAGAAGATTGATTGCTGTTGAGAAGTGGTGGAAGGATTTTGTGGCTGTGGATATAGTTTTAGGTTTTGTAATTGAGTTGAGGAAGGTAGTTAGGACTTAAATCAAGACACATGAGCTCCAGCCTGGCCTTGTCACTCACTAGCTATGTGGCCTGAGGCCAGTGATTTTCTCTCTCTGCACCAAAACCTCCTCATCTATAAACTGGAAGAGAGGGAAACTAAACTGGATGAACTCTAAAGTCTAATGCTCTACTGTGGGAAATGCGGAGGATGATATTACCCAGTTTCCTACAGTGATGTCAAGAGGATTGTATTCTAAGTCAGAGATTGGTGCACTATGGTTTATGGGCCAAATCTGGCTTTCTGCCTAGTCTCCAATGGCCTGTAAGCAAAACTTGGTTTTTATATTTCTTAATGTTTGGGAAAGATCAAAAGAGAACATTATTTTGTGCCACATAAGAATTGTATGAAGTTCAAATTTCTGTGTTTATAAAGTTTTATTGGAACATAGCTACACTCATTCATTTATATATTGTCAGTGACTGCTTCTGTGTGAAAGCAACAGAGTTGAGTAGC